GCTTGCACTCGCGATCTCGTCCTTTCGGTCACTACCCACAGCTCGTGACCATAGGTGAGGGTAGGAACGTAGGTAAATCGAGAGCTTTGCCTTTTGGCTCAGCTCTTTCTTCACCATGACAGACCGATGCAGCGCCCGCATCACTGCTTTTTGGAAATTATTTGTGTGCCCTCCGCCTCATGGGTTTGGAAGCTGAATGGCACTTGAGCCAAAACAAAAGATCTCTGGGTTAAATGTGCTTTGGGACAGAAATGCATGAATAGCTATGCTTTAACCATCCTTAGCGTGAGAAGTTAAGCTGTGGGAGCTACCATAACATCATCCCCGTCGTGACAAATCCAAAGTGCTCCAGGGAAACTTTTCTGGTGCTTTAGGTGTGACCATGCTGGGTTTAACCACTAACATTTAGCAAGGAGTACTGACTCTTTGCAAGGTGGTTTTCACTCAGAGGCAAGGAGTGGCTCAAGGTGACAGTATTAACATAAAACACCAAGTCAGAGCCAATATGAGCTGGACAAGACTCAACTACTTGGTTTAACTGCAAACTTTTCAAATATCAATGTAATGACACTTGCACAGATCTATAAAGAAAGGGGGAAAAGGCAGATTAAGAGCTTATTACCTTCTCTGGTGGCTTTATGTGATTTAACAATATCAATATAAATAGTACAGCACATCCATTATCCTGTTGGCTGGCATGATATAACACTAACTTTAACCTTTACCTTGCTCAGGACTGATTTGATCCCCTACCGTCAGCAGGGGGGCGCCTAAGCCTTTCGGCATTTTCCAGTTTAGATCTCTGCCTGGCATCCAGCATCCGATAATCACGCCAGTAAGTAGTCAGATACCTTCGTGCGCGGCCTGGGCGATATCTACGATGTTCGTGACGTTGGGGGTCAGCTTGGCGAAGAACGGGATGGCGACAGCCCTCCTCACCCACCGGCAGATGTTCCTCACCAGCTCTGGGTCCTGCTCAGAAAGGGTCAGCCACCGAAATCTCAGAGTCAGATTAATCTTGTTAAATCTGCACGTGCAGAAGAAAAGACGAATTTGGCGCCAATCTCCGATGCCCGTTGCAGGCATGGGAGGGACATTCCATGTATTTTTACGCTAAGTCTGTTACACCGCAGCAAGCCACCATGAAAGCTACATTCATGCATCATACCACATTCATATATCATTGTGTGGCTATTTACTAGATTATACCCCCATTTTCTTTGTTCCTCTCTACGCCACATTGAATACACTGAGACGACAATGGCATTATTATGCATTTTTAATGGTAAAGAAAGATGGCAGGATAGAAAAGAATACATCTGTGCCATTATGAAATTTCAAGTATTCAAGCCCATGCTGTTTTAGACGATTTCAAAGAAATATCCTGTAGTTGATATTCATATCAATTTATATAATAATAATAATAATAATAATAATAACAAGAAAAAGAAGAAGAATATGTTATTATTGCTGTTATTGTTATCGTTATAATCATCGTAAGTCTGGTTCTCTTCCAGGTGCATTATTCCACGTCAGCTCAGTTATTTATCTGCAGTTTGCATTTTTCATTCATTTCTTTCTTTTTCAAAAAAGCTCTCTAATGCGGCCAGATAGCTAAAGACAGATCCGATAGACCAGCTTCTGAGTGCTGCCATCTCCCATCGCGGCAGCACCTTGGCAATAACCTGTACTCTCTGCCTCTGTCTCTCTTCTACACATCCAATAACAGTTGGCATATATCCCCACGTGCCAGGGTTTTTGCTCTCCTATATAAAGAAGAGAGATTAATAAGGTCTCTAAACAAAACAGAGCTTTGAGGGCATCTCCAGGGGAACACAAGGTAAAGGTTAGTCCCGAAAAATATACTACTCAAAAGAGATAACCCAAAATTGATTTGTGTGTTCTGTGGGAAAAAAGTCAACATTTCCTCCTCTCACTACTTGCTTTGGTATCTTAAATCCTGCAGCGTGATTCGACGTCCCTTACGTCTCAGAAATGTATTGTGGATGAGAACTGAATGCTTAGTATCTTTGGGACGGCACTGTACGCTTGTGCAGGACAATCACAATACTCCTTAAATACGACAAGCTTCCAGCTAAGGGACCGAGGAGATAATGTTTGCGCTTTTTTGGAAAGAAAGGTTGAGAAGATCATAGATGTCATGGATGGGTGTTTCCAGCATGTGCTCCACCTGACTGTATCCATTTATTTCATGAAAATTTTAGGATTGTAAAAATGAGAATCATAAGCTGGCATAACAAAAAAGAACAAATGCAAAATAGTGGAATTACCCATGGGTCATTAGGGTTTTTTTCCTATATATTAAAGTTAGCAGTGCATCATAAAAGTTTTGGTGATGGAAGAAGGGGTAAGGTGAGGCAAAACAACACCGTCTGTGGAGCAGACATTCTCAAAAAGCAGAGCGTTCGATTTCAATCATGTGACCGGTTAGAAAGGACCCATGGGAGACAGTCTTCCCTACCTCTAACAGCCATATGAAAAATCACGTCAATCCTCCGTCTCTCCCGGGTCGTAGCCCGTAGACAGCGATGACTCAGATGCAGGTTTCAAGATCTTTCACAGTGACAGCTTGATGATGTTCACCCCTTGCAGTCCAGGTGCAACGATTTTATTAATAGCTGGAAGTCTGGGCCTATTTTGGATGCCTCCTACCAACAGCAGTTTTATAGTGCAAGAACACTATAGACTGCACCTGTCTAGGAAAAACCTATGCATTAAACCAGGTATGGGCATAATTCTGTGGAAACCACTAATGGCATCATTTGAGAAGTAAACAAAAGTGACATGTAAGGGACATGTTTTTGGGGTTGCGGTGACATTCACCACCCATATCAGCTTAAACCCTCTACCAGCGGTTCAAGGCATGTGTGGCTTTGATTGGAACCTAACAATTCACCCGAGGGCCAATGGCATCTGTGGCAGTGGGAGAATACAATCAGGGGAGGAACTTCTGAGACCAAGCGGCACTTGAATGCAAGGTAGTCCACAGAAGATTAGTTCTCAGTTGTGGGCCCACGTAGGACCTGGGAGATGCGGGAAGTCCTGAGCCACTGAGGACGGGCCACAGTGGGCCGAGCGCCAGAGGGTATGTTACACTCAAAACTTCCGTTATGCGACACACATCTTCCAACAGATCTTCACGAGACGGACAAGAACTTGCCATTGATCAATGAATGCTTTGTGAGATTGCTAACTTTACTCATTTCTGACTCAGAGTGTGGCAAGCTGACGCAAAAATGCTAATGCTAATATATTCGGACTGGTGGAGATACACGGAAACAATCTATCTAGCAAGTGACAGTCAAGGACTGATGATAAGCCATTCTGATCGCTGATCTTTTAATGTCTTCTAGTGTGGAAAGTAAGCAAGCAGTTCGGCTGAAAGATATTCAGAAAAGTGGGACCCCTACCTATGACAGGGAGTCCACTGCCTGCATGACATGGACGCAGCATGCAAACTCCACACACACACACACACACACGCATACACACACACACACACACACACACAGAACAAGACTGAAGTGTAACTCAACAGAGCTACCCCACTGAGCCAGAGTGCCACCTTTAAATATATCAAAATATAGGATTTAAATTGATTAAATGCTTTAGAATTGTATTATTGGTAAAATATGAACAGTCTAAAATGTCACTTCGGTGTAAACAGCTTGTCTTACAGTTGAACTGGAGTGCGTGGGTACAATGGCATATTAATATTCCATTATGCAATCCCACCCAGTTCAGCACAAACAGAAATATTATTTTACCCAGCTGTGGGGGAGGGGGTGGCAGACTGCTGTGATTAAATGGCACTGCCTCTTTAGTTCACATAAAGGTTAGGCAGCCTCGGGCGCAGCGCTTTTCATTAGCCGAACATCTTACAGTGGAGAGATTGGAGCCGAGGCAGGCAGCTCTGGATGACAATGGCTTTGCTGGCTGTCTGTATGGCAAATATTTTCTCTCCACGCACTAAAACGCGACAAAAAAATTTCTTATTGCTCCGGACAAGATAAACTCTTAAAGACCTATAATTTCCCTGGCCCGTGTCTTTCCCTTTAATAGTCTCAGCTATCCCCGTTTTTACTGGCCTGTGTCTTTCCCTTTAATAGCCTTGGCTATCCCCGTTTTCATTGGCCCGTGTCTTTCCCTTTAATAGTCTCAGCTATCCCTGTTTTCATTGGCCTGTGTCTTTCCCTTTAATAGCCTCGGCTATCCCCGTTTTCACTGGCCCGTGTCTTTCCCTTTAATAGCCTCGGCTATCCCCGTTTTGCCTGGCCCGTGTCTTTCCCTTTAATAGCCTCGGCTATCCCCGTTTTGCCTGGCCCGTGTCTTTCCCTTTAATAGCCTTGGCTATCCCCGTTTTCATTGGCCCGTGTCTTTCCCTTTAATAGCCTTGGCTATCCCCATTTTCACTGGCCCATGTCTTTCCCTTTAATAGCCTCGACTATCCCTGTTTTCACTGGCCCGTGTCTTTCCCTTTAATAGTCTCAGCTATCCCCGTTTTCATTGGCCTGTGTCTTTCCCTTTAATAGCCTCGGCTATCCCTGTTTTCACTGGCCCGTGTCTTTCCCTTTAATAGCCTTGGCTATCCCCATTTTCACTGGCCTGTGTCTTTCCCTTTAATAGCCTCGGCTATCCCCGTTTTCACTGGCCCATGTCTTTCCCTTTAATAGTCTCAGCTATCCACGTTTTGCCTGGCCCGTGTCTTTCCCTTTAATAGCCTCGGCTATCCCTGTTTTCACTGGCCTGTGTCTTTCCCTTTAATAGCCTCGGCTATCCCCATTTTGACTGGCCTGTGTCTTTCCCATTAATAGCCTCATCTATCCCCGTTTTCACTGGCCTGTGTCTTTCCGTTTAATAGCCTCGGCTATCCCTGTTTTCACTGGCCTGTGTCTTTCCCTTTAATAGCCTCAGCTTAGTGCTCCATATTAGTCATGTGGCTTCCCGGTCCAGGCTGTTTGTCTCTGTCCACTTCAAAACCATTACGGAGTGACGAAGCGCACTGGGCAGCACTGGTGTCATGCTGTGTACCCCTCGTGGTGCATTCACCCCACAATTAACACCTCCATGTTAGAGTTTATTTAAACTTACATTAAGTTCATCTTTTATGTTTATCAGTATGTTCATCTTTTATGTTTATCAGTATGAGAACTCAATTAACCAGCCATACATTTGACAGACACTAAAATTAGACAATAAATCATAAAAAGCTAAATTTGCATGATGATATTATCATTTTACACCATGTTATGCAACTTACAACCTACAAATTACATGGGTTCAAACTGAGTTAAGTAACAATATAAAAACAATAGTTGGAAATACTTCTTTTAAAAAAAAAAAAAGTTCTGTTACTTTCATATACTCAAACCAAGTTTTCCCCACATCTCAAAGCGACTCACTGCAGTAGAAATCTGTAGAATCAGTAGAAATGCTAAAAAATTTAATTTTCTGGTAGTTTACCTTCAGATAAGTGGGGCCTCGCGGGAGAAGGGTGTACCCCCCCATCCCCCTTGTGTTAAAGCTGGGGAGTGCCGGCGTGCGTGCCTCACCTGGCCACATGCAAGCCCCATGCCACGTTCCCCCATTCCATGAGGGCAAGACAGGTTTAACTCCAGAGCATCTGCCCCAGACGCCTGTGGGATGGAGAGGATGCAGAAAGAGTCAGGCTTTCATCAGCATCCACCCTCGGCTTCTAAGCTGGAGAAGCAGCATGATGGGTAAAGCTGTTCTTGTGTCTTATAAATAACCCCCATCCCCAGGATAAGCAGATAGAACATGGATGGATGGATGAATGGTTGGATGGATGGATGGATGATGAAAATAATCTATAAAATTAAACTTAAAACATCAGAACGTCCAAAGAAAGAGAAAGGGGAAAAAAAAAATATTTGTGTCAGTTTCTGAATCTTCACCAAGTGTGACTCATTTTGGAATTATAACCAGGAGGAACTTTGACAGATGTCATTGGACTGTGGGAGGAGGCATGCAGAGGGAAGCTAGGCAAACATGCAGAGAACATGCAAACTCCACATGCACACGCACATGCACGCACACACACACACACACACACAGAGAATGATGGATTTATAGAGAATGAGGTGTGTGAGGCTACAGTGCTACCCGCTGAGACCCCATGCTGCCCTGATATGTGTATATATACAGGTCTGTGTGTGTGTGTGTGTGTGTGTGTCTATATGTATACACACACACATACAGTACACACACACACACACATATACAGATGGTGTCTACAGCTAATAATGTTTGACAGCAATTGTGTTTCTCAAGGGGCTTTGAAATGCATCAGGGGAGGGATTTAAACAATTACAAAAGCTCCATAGCCACCCCCACCCGGCCCACTCTACACTGAGCCCTGCCACAGATTTATGATTTTGCTCAAACTGACGTCCATTAGAGAGCAAGAGAGTAATACGCGTTTTAACCTTACAAAGTGTGCGGGGCCCAGTGGCCGCGGGAAGCCATTCGTCTCAGTCGCGGTGGCGCCGGCCGTGTCAGGCGCGGATTAAGTACCAGATTTCGCGGTCAATTAGGCCGATGCAGGTACGGAGCAGACACGATGCGAGGCTGTCTCCCAGCCAATTACAAATAATGTTAATTTCACCCGGATCTCACAATACAACTACGGACAAGGGTTTCTTTTCTAATCTGAGTGAAACATACAGGTATATAAAAACAAAATGAGCACAGAGCACATTGCATTACAGACAGGAGATCATTTCTGACTGCTGCCGTCAACACAGTTAAAGAAAAACTAAAAATGCCATTTTCACTGAATTTTGCACTCATTTCGGCTCAGAGTCACAGGCATTACATTTAAATCTCTTAAACTCTCAGTCAAATTAAATAAGTAAAACAGCCATTGTAAAAGGTCTGGAAATCACAAATGTAATTAGCACATAGGGCCTGCATTTAATGTAGCACTTCTTTCAGAAGCGTAAGGGGTTATTTACGTAGGACAAAGTACACTGAACTGGAGCCAAGGCTTCAAAAATTTCGGGGACCAAAATCCATTATTTAAAACTAAGCAAATAAACAGATCAACACAAACAAAATCAGTCTGGAAAAAAATAACCTTTCAATGATATCCTTAGGCAATGTTAAGTGTTCCCTTACACATTTCAAAGAAAGAACAAACAGTTTACTTTACTTGAAGACCAAGTTTCCATGGAAACAGGGTTTATATTCTGTATTTCTTGGACAGGTAGTTAACCCAGTACACCAAGGATATGGGGAAGAGCGTGTGATCCATGGGGCTTAGGGACGCAGGAGATTTCTCTTACCTAATCAAGGGCAACGCGGAGGCAAACCGTCCGCTAACCAGTTACCCCTGTCCGCTATTCAGGGTCACACAGGGGTCGGCACATCCCCCAGTATGAGAGTTTCAGGAGTAAATGAAACCTTAATAGCATGAACCAATGCAAATATACGCAATGGTAAATTGGTTTGAAAGGCACAGAAGACACCTCTCTGGAAGACTGGGGTAATCTGTGAGATTAGAGATCTGCATGAAAAATGGTACGGCGGGGGGGAGGGATGGGGCACCATGGTATAGGCAGGTGCGCACAGTAGGGATGAACTCCAGGTGCGGTGAAACAGAGGGTGTCAGGATAAGCTTTGGTGGTACGGTATGTGTGATACGTGACAGCGTTGCAAAATGGGGGGGGGGAGGAGGGGTTTAGAAGCTAGTCTCTTAGCAACATTAATTCTGTGTTAAACAATTTTAACACAAAACCATTCCCCCAAAAGGATAGAGAGAAAGGAAAAATTAAAAAAGAAAAAAAAAACTACAAAGTGTACTGAATTGTTAATTAAGAATTTACAAAACTAGACTGTTAAACTTAAAACAGAATATCAAACAATTCAGGAGGAAGGAAAAATAAAAATGAAACTAGTTCATTCTTTATTGATTATAAAAAGGATGATTACTATAAATATTATTAATAATAAATGTTATTAATAGTAATGACATTATAGTTATATTATAAATGATAAATATTTATGATGACAATAACAAAAACAATAATAATAATAATAATAATGATGATGATGATGATGATGATGATGATGAAGCATGCAAATAACAGGGTAGGAGAAATACTCGACCTACTTCCGCCATCTTGGAGAGCTCCGTCCAGTCCGGCTTGCTGTAGCTGCACATGATGCTTGCGATCACCACCTACGGAAATGCAAAGAGTTAAAGCGGCCTGATAATCGCAGCTCCCGCACAGCTCTGCCTGCGGAGTCCATCTTCGCAAACAGACGCTTTTACGGCCCAATTCCTGTTTCAACACGCTACAGAATGGATCTGAAAGCTATTATCCCATCTTTAAAAGCGGCGGCCTCGTCCTCCTTTGCTCAAAGTCACAAAATCAATATTTATAATTTACGGGATAAAGACAAATCCCCTGGCGTGAAAGCATTATTAAAACAATAAACACAATAGAGGGATGGCATTAGCTAAGTGCCCTTATGGTATTGCTGGATTAGCCTGTATTATTTTCCCTTCTCTCCACCGGATGTGCTGTAATTGGCCCATAAAAACAGGAAATAGAAAAATATTCTCCTGTTATTGTCTTTTAAACCAGAATATAAACAATCGACTGCAATATAATAATGCAAATATTTGCCATGAAGAAATGTCAACATGAGGGTTGCAACAACAAGGATTATTCTATCCAGTAAATATATGTTCCTAATGGCATATACTCAACCTGAAGGGAAAAAAATGAAATGCTTTTCCCCAGTCTGTTCTAATTAAAGGTACAGCTCGCCACCCTGATAAACATCTGGTTACAAAACCATCCTGCAGACACTCTAATGGGGAGACAAAGAGATTTAATGCTATTCCAGTGGTTCACTGATGTATTTCATGGTTAACTTTGCCACCTTCACATTCTGTATGTGTGAATAAAAACATTCTATATGAATGTATGTGAATATTTCAGCCTCCAAAGGAAAGTGCTTCTAATTACCAGAGAAATATGTTAGGAAAACTCAAATCTGCATCCAACAACAATGGTTTAATGTGTCACTGCAAAGGTTATAAACTGTAGTATTCCATATAAATCAAAGAGGCTACTTATTACATGTGTGTATATAACTTCCAGAGATCTGTAAAAAGTAAATGGCTTCATAAACGCATAACTGTGTGTCAAATTTGAAGATTCTGTCCTTTCTGGCACTAGATTTCCGTTCCAAATCCCCTATGATGCAAGAGTTAAAGGACCCAATAAAAAATTCAGAATAAGTGATACAAATAAAGCATACAGAACATGATTATGGGCACAATCTGGATACACTGATGACAGTGACATATAAAGTCTGCAGAGTTTTATGCTACAGACATAAAAACATAGCAGAAGACCAGCTATTAAATTATGAATACAGAGTACAGCAATGCAATAACACGAGGCAGTAATATGGATGACGATTCTCAAAGACCGGGTAGCTGGGAATGTGTGCTTTTGGCTCATTCATTTGAGTGTAAATGGAATAAACGGTCTTGCAAAATAAAACAAGAAACAGTACAAAGAAAAAGCCATCAGAATTTGATATCATATATTTTCCCTATGACCCTGACAATAATAAATGATTAGAAGATGGATGGATGGATTATTATATTTTGTTTTCTAAACTGATTCCAGTGAGACCAAAAGTTTAAAACATAAACTAATAATAATAAGATTAATGATAATGATAAAGCAACAAACTGTATAGTAACAGGCAGTACAGTAACACAAAAACACTGGCAAATTCTTTTAAGTTCCATTTTTAAAGTCAACACAGAGGTTGAAGCTTCTGCTTGAGATCAATTTTCTCTTTTTAATATACATGATAACATTTGTTTAACAATGCAACATTACCTGCTGTTATTACTGTATGTGCACTTCAGCTAAATGCAGTTAAATCATTAGGTGAATAACATCCACAATGAGTGAACATGTTCTCACATTTTAATCAATGCCGCGTCTTCATTGCTTTTGGACTGAATTTAATTGTTCCACATAATGAAAGGGAATATGGTTCCACCATGGAAGCCATTTACTATAAAGGCAGTGTCCATATATATATATATATAGAACATTTACATGGAAGAGTTAAATATTACCTTTAAAATCACTCAGTAAGTTGTGTATCAGTGTTAATAAAAGTACTGCCTGTCAATTATCCATTGATGTTTGTGAAAATGCTAAATGTTTAAAAGTGTATTGTGCCAGAGGGGAAAATGACATCATTCCTTCAAAGTTCGTGTTAGAAACCACACTGAACTGGTGGAAACGTCCTATCTGCCAGCACTCGTGCCTCCCCCCCCGGCATTTACCACAAATGTGTGCCGGTCATGTGAGCTCGGGACAGACGTGGTGGTGTTCACGATATTAATGTCACCCGCGGCGTGTAGTCGTGCCAGGCTAAAAGCTGACCTCTGCAGATGGCCGGGGGTCGCTCATACCCAGAAACAAGCTTTGCAGGACAGCGGCATGCTGCACTTTTAACAAGCGACCCCACGATGGTACATCTCGCCGGCCATTATCAGCCACCACGCGTACAGGTACTGCTGCCGCCTCTTCAGAATTCCATTTCCCGAAGAACATGTCCTTCCGTGATAGTATTTTGAAGGCTGATGGAAATCCTGCCCTGTTTAAGACTAATTTATTGGTGTATATTAATGACCTAATCATGACTGTTATTTTGAATAACAGGTAAGGGCTTTCTATCGGACAAAAATATACTGTAGTTTAACATTCCAGTATATGAGTTTAAGGGAAATCTTATATACATATTATTTACACATTATAGACAGATTTTAGCGATTTACGCTGAGCATGTTAGTCATTTTAGTATAACCAGTGGGACTTGGCTATAGCATTTAAGGGTATGTCCATCTGAACTGGAGGAGAACACCTTAAAAAAGCCCCAAATCAAAATATAGAAGAAACAAATGAACAAATATGAGTCACACCCCAGCTATGAAGTGTACTCAGCACAGGAAGTAGGCCACTGTGAGCCAAAGTTGTTTTATTAATTTCATAAGACTACTGAAGTAACAGGCATCATCTCCTCTCATCTACAGAGCGTTGTGTCTCCAAGATACTGACTGCTTGATAACTGTCAATCTTTGCCGACACGGACATATTAAAATTTTGGGATGAAGCGTTCTCTCTAGAAAAACACAGTTTTCGTGCAGGAGTAATGAAATACATCTACAGAGCGATAAAAGAAATCAATGAAACAAGGCAGCCAGCCATGACCTACAAAGCCAACTAATAAAATTTCAACGATAAGGATTTATTTCTATACTCTTTTCACATTTTTTATGAATATCGTTAACAAGTCATCTCTGGCCTTGCGTGTCTGATATTTATTTCTCTGCGACATCAGCGCGAAAGGCAGGCTTTGTTACTGAGTGCGCGCAATGACGAATCCGCAGACCCGGGGAATCGGATGCATTGTGTGACAAGGCACACTGACCCTGCCCGTCTGCCTCTCGTTGACAAGAGCGGAAAGGGGAATCGCAGACCTGGCCGCAGTCACAATGGTGGCCAGCCCACCCTCTGCTTGTGTGAAGCTCACCTCAGAAGAGTTTGTCCAGGCATTTCAGCACGTGTAGTATGCTGAATTCATGTTTATACAGGCGCATGGCAGGCATTGCACACACGCTATCGAGCATAATCAGCAAGGGGTGCTTAAATTCAGGCTTTTTACTGGGGTTTCCCCAGGGGAGTGCTGTAGTGCTCCCACTATCCAAAGACATGTGGCTTAGGTTACCTAGGGACAGTGCTTTGCCATTAATGTGTAAATCCACATGTTTGTGCTTCTGTGTGTGCGTGTGTGTGTGTGTGTGCGCATGTGTGTGTGGGTGTGCATGTGTATTTGCGTGTGTGTGCATGTGTGTGTGTGTGCGTGTGTGTGCGCGCGTGGGTGTGCATGTGTGTGCACACCCACAGTGTGATAAAAACCTGTTATTTTGACATTGTGAAGAACACTTTAAAAATCTGTGACTGCAATAAAAAAAGTAAAGTCTTGCATTTTGTTTGGTTACTTATGGTTAAGGCTATTATGTTATGGGGTAAGGTTGTCACTGTTAGTATTGCAGTTTTGCCAATTGAAATGAATGGACGGTCTCCACAAAGACAGGAATACAAATGCGTGTGCGTGAGAGAGCGCCCTGAAACTGACTGTTGTGACCTGAAAAAGGTTTCCCCAGTTTTGTGTTTCTGTTGCTAGGTTCTGGATCACTGCAAACCTAAGATGTCATAAGCGGATTTTGAAAATGGCTGGATGGATGGATGGATGAATGGAGTCATAAATATTCAAAAGTTGCATTAAATTAAAGTAAAAATTACCACATTGAAATGAAATAGAAAATTGTACTTTTTTATATGTGAGTAAAAATAAACTTTAATTTAAAATTATTATTCACATGCTGAAGTCTATTGTGTGTGTATAAATTTACACACACTGCACAATAAGCACTTAATTAAACCCCAACTAAAAGTTCAAGGACGAATACCATGTTATTTTTGAAAATGTGCCATTATGTGGAGTCCTGTCACCAAACAGCATCCAGACAGGCGGGATGAGAAGGCTCAGCGGAATCGTCACGGCTAAATAAAGCGCCATCTCTCAGGTTCACCACACTGCCACCAAGAAAGTGCTGAGAGGCCACAAAGCCTCCCCACCTTCTCACTGCGCACTGCATTCCAGCCACGCATGGTAACGATAAAAGGCCCCCGTCACCTGTTTCACAACTGCATAAGAAATGCACACTTAGAGATGCCAATTCATCTAAGCGCATGTCTTTGGACTGATGGAAGAAAGTGGATTACCTGCAGGAAACCCGCGTCACATGGGAGCTGCACACAAACCCCAGACACGCATGCAGAGCGCAGGTGAGCAGATTCGAACCCCCAACCCTTTTCATGCACATGCTTGCAATTCCATGTAACTGGCTTATTGATTTCTGGATGCAGATAATATAAACAAAATTAGAGACAGAGAAATCATATATGATGTGTGGCTATTAGCCAAATACTGATAAAAAGAAAGGAAATACTCCTTAGAGAGGAGTTTTCATTCATTAAACCCCGAAGAGCACCACTAATGACTTACATTATTAGGGAAGTCTGCTTTGAGCTCTTTCACACTCTGGCACCAGTACGCGGCCGTCTTCTCGCTGATGAGCTCGATATTGAGGAAGGAGCCCTGTCCCGGGCCAAAGATGTGACCTGAGGTCGTCCCACGGACAATTCTCGGGGAGACATTGGTGACCAAATCCTGCGGGAAAATGACATGAACAAAATAACACAATTTTCCTCACATTCAGCGTATGTGGAGCAGTTCCCATTATTTTTTCGAGCAGAAAAATCCAAGCCATTATACTAAATATGTCTAATTATGTGCCCCTAATATGTCTTCAAAGCAGAACACGTAGACGGCTTTGCGGCTTCGGTTATTAATTGGATGTTATCTGAGGTAATGAAACCTTTAACTGAGCATGTTACTCAATAATTATTTATATGTAAAACACTGTAAAAAGATTATTATGGTCATAATTCAGCAAAATACATGACATAAACTCAATATTGTTATTTTTCTGGAGGCACTGAAGCTGAGAGAAATGTATGTTTAATCACATACAGCAGTAAGTCCTTCGAAATACAATCCATGACAAAATAAAATTTCACAGTGTTCAAAGGGACACCTGCATTCATTACAAAAAAGTCACACTTACATTCATAATAAAAAAATATATACAGTGCTTATAAATATTTGTTTTGTGGTATTCCTGTAACATAAGGCTTTCTGACAGTAAATGAGCATCTTCTCACCTGAGGAAACATCAGAGATTACTGGACCTAGCCACGTTTCATTTCGTGATGGATCGCTCCCTTGGCGCTAAGAAGCGTGCAGCATGCTTCGACGCCTGGCTAACGCTTTCTCAATGAACATTCTGCCAAACGGACACGGGCTCCAACGGCGGCTGGATTCTCATGGAGTGTAACGGTTTTGAAGCTGTTTTTTTTTCTCTTTTTCTCAGCAGCTGTGACCGGTCTGCCGTGGACTCGTGATGTAAACAGTGCAGACAACTGGCAGAGTGCTGGGCATGGCATTGTGACTAAACCCGCTAACGGCTTTGGCTGGGCACGGAGCAGGAACGCCAACGCATCGCAAGGTCACTCTGTTTACATCAAACAAAAAACGGACGTGCAATTTTAAAAAGGAACCTGACTTGCGCTACATGCAGCAATATGCTCAATCTCCTGCTACAGTGTATGCTTGATTCCTTAGAGAATGAAAACAGAATGCCAGTGTTTAAAATAGCATTTCCCCAACTGTGCTATGGAATGCGATATCACATTCATACCAAAGACAATTTTTAAATGCATAATTTTAATAACATGTACATAAAACTTCCTGAGAAACTTTCTGAGGTTTGAAGACATCAATAAGGCCATGAAACCTGAAGCAAGATACTACTGCAACATCATGGACCATTAGTACCTAGCAATTAAGAAAATACACATTTTAATCAGGGATTATCCCATTAAAACAATTAAGACAATAGCACATTAACTTCATAACATTTGGAAATTCTTTCTGGGAATAGGCAAAAAAAGGAAAACTAATTAGCAGTAATTATGCCTTATTTGTGTGTTTCATACATCATGCCTCACAACAGCAGCCTTTTATGTGTTTTTTTGGAAAATGCTCTTTTTTGTTTATTTTTTTTAGAACAAAAAGACAACTGAGAGAAATTTCACAGAAAAACTGAACTCTGAGTTTCCGTTTCCTTTCACTGTTTTGTTTGACTTGTTTTAAGAACATTGTAATGCGGAAAGGACAATGAATCATAATTATAGCTCAGAAAAGCTTTGAATGTAGTACAAGGATGGATACCAAAAAAAAAAAAATTGGCAAATGAAAAAAAAATAAAAAAACATTTGCAAGCGATTAAGGCAAACACGTGAACAACCATGGAAAACTGACACTTTTCAGCGCTGGGGGAGATTTACGATTTTCAAAACAACAAGTGACAAAAACGACAAAGGAAATAACACACACAGCCCCAGGAGCTGATCTGTGGCTGTAAACATACCTCACGTAAATCTGGATTTTACACGAAAAGGAGTGAAAGGTGACCTGCCTAGAGAAATTGGGTCTCCATCATTTTCAGCAAGGGAACACTCCATTTGTAAATCTTTCTTACAAATAGAAATATACTACTTTTTTGCAAAAATTCTGGGGTGGGTTTCCCAAAAGCTTCATTATATAGCACTTAAGATTATTAATTAACAAGTGTTTCTCAAATCCCTTCGTAACTAAAGCAGTTTATAATCTCGCTCTGATCCACTCGTTATTCTCTACCTTGCTCTTTGAACGTTTGCCTGCAGTCCCGTTACAGAAACACAGAGATCACCCGAAATAAATCACAAAACAAACTGACGTTCCTTTTTTGGAAAACATAATAATAACGTTGCTTGGTAATTTCATAATAATAAAAGGCCAGCGTTGCAATATAAAACTTATAACTTATGCCATTTGAGTAGCAGGGTTGTGCAGCATTGAGAAATGAATCGAGAATGACCTTGAAATTCAAATTCATAAAATTTGTCAAATTTGAATATATTAAAATTGATCTATCATACATTCATAAAATAGTATGGGTGCAGTCTCAGCTTAATGTTTCAGTATGAATTACACAGGATGTTAACAAACAGAATACACCCCCTACCCCACAATCACGACAATTTACGCTATTTCAAGCACCTGGCTGAAAGTCTGCATGTCACTGTTATTCAGAATGACAAAATGCCACATTTGAAGTGTCACGTATAGAACACATACAGTAATTTTACTCATTTTGTGTGTCATGGTGAAAGAGAACTTCATACACTCGTACAAGTAACCTTATCAAAACCCTATCCATGGAAAAGGACATAAACCAAATGTGTATCGTCATAAAAGGTTAAAACAATCACACAAACTCAACATACAATCGTGCAAATATAAAATACACTTCACTCACTAGTACATATATATGGTCAATATATACATCTACCATCTAGAAAGAAAATCTATTATATAATGATCTATGTTTTGTTGGATTAAATGACATTCCTGTGTTGTGTGATTCCTTTGAGTTACTTTGAACTGAAATTATTAAAATTCTTCTTCCTGTCATTCCAGTTCAAATTCTAATTCAACAACTTACAGGGCATAGTCAATTCAATTCAAATTCTAATTCATGAACTGAATGGGGCACAATTCATAAATTCTGAACAAACCTGGTACATAATGAGCCAACCAATCAAACTCGCTATGTGTTCAGTCACATCCTTTGAATTGGAAGGTGAATCACCCCTCATGACCAGCAATGGCAGAAAACAGTACCACTCATTTGAGACAGGACTGTGCAGGAAGCCAGGATGTTCGTCCAAATGCTGTTTTGTGGGAGGACCTGAACCCCCTGGAACATCTCAGTAATGAATAATTCAGACAGAAATGCAGGTTGACCTGGGGCGACATAATGAGCCTCCTTGGTCAGGTGCAGGATAAACTGAAAAGAGGAACACACCGGAATTTTGCCCTCAGTCCACCATGCAGCTTCTGACAGCCCTCTGCTTCTATGCCACCGGTGGACACTTGCAGACTACTGGTGATGCACATGGCCTCTGAAAAGGTGCCGTGTCCAGATCTGTGCATGCACTGATCACATTTTTGTTGCACCGTATGCACAACTACACACATGTTCCAGCTGGAGGGGATACCCTGTATGACACTATAATTGTTTTTCATGCCATTGTAGGCATACCTGGCACTGAAGGTGCAGTGGATGCAACTCTCAGTCCTATTCATATTCGCAGCCTGTTGAATCCCACCTGCACCTGTCAAAAAGGGCTCCTGGCACTAGGCCTAAATGTCTAGCTGATATGCAGCCATCAAGGACATTTTATAGACATTGTGTCCAAGTGGCCAAGTAGGACACATGATGTTTAAATCTGGTCCAGGTTTGTAGTGTGTCAGATGGCATAGGATGGTGTGTTTGCTGGTGGCTGATTATTGGGAGACGTCAGGAATCCTCTTAGCGAACACCTGCTGGCTCCAGTGTAACTGCGGCTGAGCAGAGGTACAACATCACACAGCAAAGAACACACACTGCTGCATAGAGTGCGGTGGCAATGTGGAAAATGTGATTCTGATGCCTGCCTTAGGAGTCCTCAGGACCTCGAATGATATTGTGCTGTTATTGTTGTGTGTGATATGCTGCACAACATTGCAGTACTTATTTTATTAATATACATTTTTTAAAGTTTAAAGTTTTACTACGTATTTTGAAAAATGTCACTTCCTTTTTCTATTGCTGCCTGCTGTTTTTTCTTGTAAGGAAGCAACATCACATTTTTGAGTCCATTCATATATTTTCAACAAATAGGTTAATTTATTTTGGTCTTAATTTAGTTTTTTTTTTTTTTTTTGTGCTTTATTCCTGCAAGTTTTTTTTGTTAATTCTGGAATAATGATGGCTTTTGGGAAATACTTGAATCTCACTCATTCTTTACCTACATCCTTCGTTATCTTGTTCGTTATTCGCCAAGATCCATCATCTTCGCGAAATGCACCCCTGAACTGAGCGAATCAAATCGACATACACATTATAAACACATTATAAACTGAATTTAATTGATTTTCTACACAGACATTTGAAGTTGACAACACATTTGTTCATCCCAGGCTAACACCAAAAAATGTGGCCTACATGCAAAACTTTGCTCCCTTTCTGAGGAAGACGACTCATAACATTCACTCGAATGCATCAGCATAACAGATCATCATCTTCCTGAACATTCAGCTGCTGGGATGATTTTTACCACAATGCCATTCATTCCCGTCACACCTCCACATTCATTAAGCTGCATATTTAATGCTAATAACCCTGAATACTTCCGACTTGCAAACTACCATACAGACACACTTTGTTCATCCTCAGGTTGTCAGCTTCAACACTGAATTACAATAACATACACTGAAGAAAGAGACAAAAAATTAACCAACTGTTTCCAAGTCTCCCAGTATTCAGTTGGCTCTCATTAAGTTGTTAAAATAAATAAATTAGACAAATATTAGGTATTAGCAATTACACTATTATTGCTTTCCTTAGCTTTCATACCATATGTACACATAAGCGTGTATATAAGGGTATAAATTATACATACAAAAACACACACACACACAAAGCTTAAAAGGTCATATGATTTACAATTTCTACAAAGTGG